GGTCAGGCATGAATGCTATAACAAAAATGAATGGAAGTCAATAGAAAGTCCTCAGTTTGATGCAAGAAAAAGGATGTGTGTGTGGGGGGGGGGGTACCTGTGTGTGTTTTCCTGGTGAACATCAGTACGACCATCGTGATAAAAAGGATTGTCATGATGAAGAGGAGGGTGGCGAGCACAGCTTTAACATTACAACACATCCGGAGAGCCATGCTGCAGAGAAAACATTCATCCATTCATTCGTTTATCCTCACTCCCGCTGCTCAAATATTTCATTTCATTTTTTATCTTAAATCTGAGAAAATCTTCGAGATTTTAAAATGATCATTTCTGAAACAGCTTCCTGATTGTTTTCACAAAATACAAACTTTAATTCAATTTGAGATAAAATCCGTTTTATCTGAACTTTATTTCTGAACATGAACTTAAATAAAATAATTTAATGTAAATGAAAATCAGTTGTGTTGATTAATTAACTAAATGTAATCAGTTTAATTTAAATGTTTAGAATGAAATGATTTGTTTTTTTACTTGATCAAAATTATAAAAATTAAAAACTAATAAAAGGTCTTAAATAATCCTTCAGACGTAGAGTTTGAGACTGTTGTCCAGCTGAGGAAGCAGATTGAGACGATAACAAAGCTTTAATCAGAAAAACACTGAGCAAAGGTGAACACACACAGCCAGATCAAATCTGAGCCAGATAAAATTTGGCTTCTCAACTTGAGGTCTGGGAGCCACAGGTGGCCCTTCAGACCCTCTGAGGGTCTACAAAGGTGCTCTTTAGTTGTAGCTCCTGGACTGTGGAACCAGCAGCTGCTTGGTGTTTTTGTCTTTAAACCCATTGGACTCAGTGGATTTAATAAAGTATCACAGAGAAACATGAAGGTAGTTATTTTTCTGTGAAGCTGTTTAAACATGAAAATGTTCCGGTTCTTTGTTCATTTGAAGCAGATTTTATGGTTTCATTTAAATTTTTATTTATTTTTAGAGAAAATAAAACGGTTCCATAAAAGCTGCAAAAGTCTGATCTGAACACTGCAAAAGTTATCAATTTTATATCCAGCCTAAATTTATTTTTACAAGATTAAAAAAAACAGTTTTAGTCTGGATAAGATCGTTAGACTTGATTAGACTTTGCAGCCTACCTGGTTCACTTCCTGTGTTCATTAAATCCTGCTGGAGAACCACAACCTTTCCATTAGAACGTTACATCTGATCCTGATGCCAGGTCACCAGAGAACCACAGGCAGAACCTGCTCAGACTCACCTTCAGCTGCTGCAGATCTGAGCTGAGGACGTCTCTGATGACACAAACAGAGCTCTGTAGCTCAGAACCTGAACGGGTCGACTCTTATCACCTGTCCCATACAATCTGCAGGTACCAAAGGTCACCATGCTGAGCCTCGAGCAGGTCCAGGGTCTCAAGTTCTGATTCCAGGAGCCTGTTGCACCAATAGGACAAGGGATTAAGCTGGGATTTTGGTGTAAACACGAGTTAATTAAACCTTGAATTGACCCGGTTTAAAGTGAAGCTTATTTAACCTTCTGAGCAGTAGAGTCGCTTTACTGTAAAAACTGATCATCTAATCAAGTTTTATAATCTTGTATCAGCTAAAAATGTATTTAGGATTTTGTTTTGAGATCAATATACTAAAATCAGAATATGCTGGATTATTAATCTTGTTAACCTGAAAAGTTTTCTTTATTTCAAGAAGTCTTCCCAAGTGCAACTGTCAAACTGCAGATTTTTATTATTAATTTGAACAGATTCAGAGTATAATCTAGTATTTTTAATTTATTTTTAGATGGCTAATTTTTAAATTGTTTGATCAGACATCAGTGTTTCATACACTTATTAAATTTATTATTTTTCTTTGCATTAAAAAAATTAGAGTAAATATATTTATTTGATTTATTTATCAGATTATCTGTGAAAAGGAATAATTTATAAAAGACTTAACCTCAGCTTCATCTTTAAAATAGTCTCAGAACCTGACATGTCATCTTTCACAGGTATGTAAATAAAGGTAAATAAGATCAAATGTGCTTATGAAATAAGAAATGTTTTCAAATATATGTTGGTACTGTAACACACAACTCTCTGGTATTTTTACATGTTTATTCTATAAACATTTAATAAACATTTATTAATATCTTAGACAAAAAAATCTAATTTAAAAACAATAAAAAGAAAAAACAAACGCATTCATCATAAAGCATATAAACAGTTATAGTTTATATTCTAATGTCATTTTATTGTCACATAATTATTATTAAGTCACATTTTAGCATTTAGACCGCTGCTGCAGTGCGCTCTACTTGTTTTACATACTGTAGCGCTGTGGTGCGTTCAATGTATTCTGTAAATATCAGTGTAACAGAAAAGTTCAACTTAAATGAAGCTTCATCATCTCAGCTTGTTTGCAAATCTGGTTGTAAAACCATAAAAACCACATCAAACTGAAGGTGGCGGTCGAAAACAGCAGCAGTTTTCCACCGCCGAAGAAGAAATCCACCCAGTCACGTGACCTCCGAAGCTAGCAGTTAGCTTAGTTAGCCCGTGTCACATAATTGAGACACAGACCGGTCGTGTTTGCTTCTATGAGCTGAAACATCGAGTATTTTCAGATAAGTTGTTCTTCTCTGAGCTGGAGACCGACCGCTGCTGAAGAAAATGTTCTGAATGTTTGGGGAAAAACGAACCGAACCGAACCTCCGGAGAACAGGACAGGTAGGAAACTTCAATGAAAGACAAACAGGAACCTTTTGTTGTTGCAGATGTTTCTGTTCTGCTGTGTTTGTAACAACTGGTAACTAACAGAAGCACTGATATAAACAAGGAGAATGAATCTGATCTAAATTCATTAAATTCATTCATTGAAGGCGGCGGAACGTGAAGATTAAAAACTCACTCAACCCTACGAAGATATATTCACCAAAGAAAATAAAAATAAGACTCGTGATCTCACATTATGAGAAAAGGAGTTCTCCCTGAGGAGCTAGGGTTTGAGCATGTACCGGATGAATCTATTTGTTTTGACTTTATGTTCCACCCGGACGTGTTAGTGTGTGACACCCTGATTCAAAGGGTGCACACTCTTCCTACACATAATGAAATCACTTGTTTGTCTTGGGTTAGGGGTAAAGCTACAGTTGCAGCTTGAAGTTGTGTTGGTATTAAAAAGTATTAAAAGGTAATAAGTTTAACTTTAGATTTTCAGTATTTACAGTACTCTGTCAACACAGAAGTGGTCTGTCAGGCACCTCCTGGGTGGTGGTCCTGGTGGGACGTAGTTAATATCAGTGACTAATTTCACAAATATCCACTAACTGTTGAAATTCGAGACTTCCTCACATTTGTGCTTCACAATGTGTCCTATTTGTAGACTTTAAATTTTACTCAAATCTGTAAAACGTTTCATTTTTATCTTTTTTTTTAGTTTTCCTGTAAGGATCTATGACCAGGAGAACTCCAGGATGAACCAAGAGGAACCAGAACCTCCACCGATTAAAGAGGAACTAGAATTACCCCGGATTAAAGTGGAAGATGAGGAACCCGAACCTCCACAGATTAAAAAGGAACTAGAGTTACCCCGGATTAAAGTGGAAAACAAGGAAGCAGAACCTCCACAGATTAAAGAGGAACTAGAAGAATTAGAATTACCACACGAACACCAGGATCCAGAACTTCCACGGATTAAACTCGAAATAGAAGAACTAGAATTACCCCAGATTAAAGGCCATGAAAAATGGGAACCTTCACAGGTTAAAGAGGAACACGAGGAACTCTACATCAGTCAGGAAGAAAAACAGATAAAGCAGGAGACTTGTGCCTTTAAAGTGACCCAAACTGACAAGAAAAGTTCTGCGAGTAAACCAGAATCAAAGAGCGATGAGCTCCTTTCTGACAGCTGTACTGAAGCTGAGAGCAGATATCAGGAAGGAAGCTCAAAAACCAGCAAAACGTCACTAAAATGTGACGTTTGCAGAAAAACCTTTGATAAAGCCTCATTATTGAAGCGACATTACCAAATCCACACAGATGAGAGACCACATACCTGCAGTACGTGTCAGAAAACCTTTAGAAATAAATATAATTTGCAGATCCACATGAGAACTCACACTAACGAGGCACCATTTACCTGCAAAACGTGCGGGAAAGGTTTCAAATTTTACAACGGCTTCCAGATCCACACCAGAACGCACACTGGCGAGAAGCCCTACTTTTGCGAAACCTGTGGGAAGAGATTTTCTGATCACCCAGCATTCAAAAAGCACAAGATGGTCCACACAGGTGAGAAGCCACATGCATGCAAGACCTGCGGGAGAAGATTCAACAGCCTCAGTCATTTAAGTCAGCACATGAGTACTCATGCAGAGGAGAAGCTGTTTCTTTGCCAAACGTGCGGGAAGAGTTTCAGCTGCAAGAGATATTTATGTCGACACACAAGAAGCCACACCGGAGAGAAACCCTACACCTGTACAACCTGTGGGAGATCTTTCGGCAGGAGCTATCATTTATCAAAGCACATGAAAAATCACTCGAAAGACAAACCCTTCTTTTGTAAGACCTGTGGGAAAACGTTCACAGAAAAGGCTGCTCTTTCAAGGCACACGCACAACACCCGCACAAAGAGACCTCATTAATGCAAAACGTGCGGGAAAAGTTATGGGCGAACCAGTCATCTGTTGCAGCACATGAAGATTCACAGTGGAGATGTTTTAGGTTGAAACTGTTTTGTTCAAACAGAATAATGGACGTGAAAAAGAGTTTAAAGAACCTGCAGTCAGAGGTTTCCTCTCTCATCACAGAATGTCAGATTAATTTGGAGCTTTGGTAAATCCTTTGAACCATTTTATTAATTATTATACAACTGAAAGATTTGAGAAAAGTTTCAATTTATTGTGGATCATCTTTAATTTTCTGAATTCACAGGCTCTGATAAAAACTTCTGACTGCAGCTGTTTTATTTTTTAAATCTTGTTTTTTCTCTTTTCAACAAAGTGCATAAAAATTGACGCCATCATATTTGAACATAAAGATAAATCTGTAAAATAAATGTAATGAGTTAAACTTTAGACGAGGGTCCAAAAACAGCAACTGTAGACATTTAATTTGAAAATACAGAAAGTGGAATTTTCTGTTTAAATTCTAAATGTTCGATGAAATCGAACTAAATGTTCGATGAAATCGAACTAAATGTTCGATAAAAGTTTGATGAAAGTGTGAATTATCTGGAGTGTTCTGTAAAAACTGGAGTCTTTATATTTATTTTCATCACTGCTGAAGTGAACCCTGACAGCTTAGTTTTGTAGAACAAGTAATAAAAATAAACTAATTATAGCATTTGTTTCTGTGCTGGTTTTAAAAAAGCAACCATCGTGATTCTTTTGGTACCAGATCATTAAAAACAAAACTTGCTGTGACAAATAAATCTTTTCACTTTATTAAAAAATATATTTTTTATTTCATTAATAAACCCTGTTCCTGAAAGACTTCTCAAAACATATTTAGTTTCATTATTTTTACATTTTGACACATTTGGTTCTGTTGCACTTTATTTTGCAGGAAGTCAAAAGGTCAAACATAACCTATGAAGTGGCTTCATTTTTTGGATTTATTTCTGTTTCTTGTTAACTATTTTCACAGCAGCGTCACTCTACAGTTCAGTTTAGATAAATAAAATAAAGGCTGTGATTTTTTTTTCATTTTACAGCTGATAAATCCAGTAAATGATGTCCCACCACCTCAGACCTTCTATACCAGTGGTTCCCAAAGTTGGGGTCGGGACCCAAAGTGGGGTCCTGACAATATTTTCTAAATTAATTACATTTTTGCCTTAGTTGCCTAAAATGTATAAACGTAGAATAATAAATAATAAAAGTTGACCTGATACAAATGTTTATCATCCAAAAATAGGTGTGGGCACAAGTCTCTGCTACTGCTATTTTGTGGGTCAAAAGCTGAAACGTTTGGGAACCACTGCACTTCAGAAATCAATTTAAAGGGTATTAAAATACTTGGTGGTGTAATATTTCCCTATAATTATTATAAAAACACAAAATAAGTATAAATAAGTATTTATATTTGTGTAGCCTTTGTTTTTAGGGTTATTAACAAATTTTGTGTACTCAGACCAGTAATATTTGGGGTCACAAGTTTTTGCCATGGATATTTTGTGGGTCAGAAGATAAAAAGTTTGGGAACCATTGCTCTATACTGACAAAGCAGTACAGGACCTGGGTCTCCTTCCTGTCTGCTCCGAGCGGGCCTGGATCTGAAAGTCCGGTTCTACATGTTTCAATCCACATCAGAACATTTCAAAACAAACCAAGGGGTTTTAAAAAGTCACATCTTTATTATGAAACATTCAGCTTCAAGTCACAGAAAAACAAACATTTCTTCAGATTTTTATAAAAATAAGTTAAAGTTAAACATTTGACACCAGCTGAGAACAGGAGCCGCTTTTGAAACAGAACCGTTCGGTCCAATCGGATCATTTTACAGATTTAATGTTTTGCTGAAGCAGCACATTTTAAAGCTTTCAAAACAAAGAGGTTGTTTTATTGTGAAAGGACAGGTTCTCAGAGCCGCCTTCCTGTGGCAGGTGGACAGTCTGCTTCCCCTGGTTCTGACCCGCTCACAGACCTGATAAATGATAAACCAGAACTCCGAACGAATGTTTAAAACTATGAACAGATTCTTCCCACCTCAGAACCGTCAGGGTCCGTTTCCACAGGAAACTCAGCGGTCCATAAAAGCCCAGTCAGCAGGTTCTCACTGACCCGGTTCTGCCGACTTCCTGTGGTCCTTAGACGTCATCAGGTGTCCCGTGAACTCTGAAGCGGTACATGCAGGTGTAGTCCGGGTGGCCCCAGTTGGACAGAACCTGGACCTCGATGATCTGGAAGGACTCATGGTTCTCCTCCTGACAACAGAAACAGGTTCTGGATAGAAGCGACCCGGTTTCTGTCTAACATCATTCTGTCATCTTTGGATAGATTTAACTAAAGTTTTACAGTTACAGTTTTACAGCTACTACAGCAGAACTTCAGCTGTTTTAACCTCTGAGGTATTGAAACTAGGGATGCACGATAACTCATTTTAAGAACCGATACAATAACTTTCTCCTAACGGCTGATAACCGTTAACCGATAACAGATAACATACCAGGAGATAAGACTAGTCAAAAATTAACAAAACAAAAACCAAATGACTATAAATTATATTATTTGAAATAAACTCTCAGCAAACAAACATTTCTTAAAGTATATCAAACAAAACAATCTCAGAAATGGCCATCTTTTAAAATAAAGGCACATTAATTATAAAAAAACTTTAACACTGATCTCAGATTTAAAAAAAAAGAGAAAAAGTCATTCCACAAGTTCAAAACAGATAATTCTCTAACACAAGTTAGATTCAAAGTACATTTGTTTTATTACTATTATTTGATTTAAAACATTTTTCTGCCTGAAACAGCTTCTGAGATAATAGTGTACAAATGATAACCTGTCAATCAATGTGTGAATGCATTACTTACTGGAAGAGAGAGGTAGCAGCAGCTCAGCATGGTAAACCGTGGCCAATGATGGCAAACCGTGGCCAACGATGGCAAACCATGGATAATGGTGGTAAACTGTGGCCAACGATGGTAAACCGTGGCCAACGATGGTAAACCGTGGCCAACGATGGTAAACCGTGGCCAACGATGGTAAACCGTGGCCAATGATGGTAAACCGTGGCCAACGAAGGCAAACCGTGGCCAACGAAGGCAAACCATGGCCAACGAAGGCAAACCATGGTAAACCGTGGATAATGGTGGTAAACCGTGGCCAACGAAGGCAAACCATGGTAAACCGTGGATAAT